GGTGGCACTGACTGGGGAAAGGGCACAGTATGCACTGTGAGCCTGACACAGAAGTTGGCAGCAGTGGCAGTATCAACTGACTGTTGGTCTTATAACAGTGAAAAAGTTTTTTGTTTTAAATCCAAGTATTGTGACACCAGATGTAATTGGTGGCACTGACTGGGGAAATGGGCAGTATGCACTGTGAGCCTGACACAGAAGCTGGCAGCAGTGGCAAGAATAACTTGACTCTCATTCAATCTATAACAGTGAAAAAAGTTTTTGTTTTTAAATCCAAGCTATTGTGACACCAGATGTAATTGGTGGCACTGACTGGGGAAATGGGCACTGTGAGCCTGACACAGAAGCTGGCAGCAGTGGCAGACAACTAAGTGCATTTACATTACATAGAAAAAAAAAATCAAAAAAAAGCATACCCTTATCCCTAACCTAGCTATGCTTTTCCCTATCTTATGAACAGCAGCTACACTTTCCCTCCTCTTACTAAGCATGCAGCTTGAGAATGAATCTAAAATGGATGCTGTCCAGTAGGTGGGAGGGTCTGCTAGGGAGGCTGTGCTGCTAATTGGCTGGAATGTGTCTGCTGACTGTGAGGTACAGGGTCAAAGTTTACTCAATGATGACTAATAGGGGGCGGGTCGAACCGCGCATATGTTCGCCCGCCGTGGCGAACGCGAACATGCTATGTTCGCCAGGAACCGTTCGCCGGCGAACCGTTCGGTACATCACTACTCCCCATGTTCTGTTCTCGGTGGCAGCATTGTGGTTTTCAAAATCCATCTTCAGAGGTGATCATGTTAACATCTTTATCAGAATTTTGGGACTCTGTAAATTTATTTGTCATGTAGTAAACATTCTATAGATTTCATTGCTGAAAAGCTCACTTTATTTTTCAGCTAGATATTCTTCAGAAGAGAGATTTAGCTTCAGATGCCAAGATTTGTTAAAAGGCAGGACTGCTGATTTGAATTTTTACCAAGACATCTAAAGTGGGTTTGTTATAATCCTGACTGTGATGAACTTTAATTGAAATTCAAATGCAATCCAGATGGAAATATTCTATAAGACAAAATAGGGATTACTTATCTTATAGACAAACTTGAGGTTGACAAAACACGGAGCTCCACCATCAACTGTTGTCCAATCTAAGCAGCCATCACATTTTAGGCATTACCTTGCTAATTGTGAGACATAATGTATGAAGGTTTCAGCGGTCTTGTGGGATCCTCCATAGACCTCAGCGTATTCTAGCACTTGCGTAAGAGTACAGTACTGATGCAGCTCCTGGCAGATGAAATATCAGGAGCTGAAGGGTATTAACCAGATGAAGATGGCAATGGTAGTAAGGGACAGCTTCAGGTAAGCATACCTACGTTTGACTGCACCGCATGGCCACTGATCCCTAACTGAAGATTGCTGTGGCAAACTTGCCCTTGCCATGAGCTCCTGGAGGAACCTGCTTGCTAGGCTCCTGCCTCAGGATTATGGGCCATGCTAAAAGGCTATTGAAAGGCTGAGTTTGGGGGATTCCCCTGAACTGTTTGGGAACCGAACCAACCCACGAACTGCGATCCACTTCTGAGCTTATTCACCCTTGTTAAACTCTCCTGACAATTCTATCAGTGTGGGATCTAATTGGGCAGCTGGTTAGCGGCCATTCGTATACACGAATGCAGGGAACTGTGTGGTGGCCACCTTGTTCATGAGAATGCAGGCAGCAGTGTTTGGGCATCGATCGCGTTGAACTAAAATCGGACACTGAAACTCCCGAACACCGCTGAACCTGGACCAATGCTTGCTCCTTCCCCACACACATCAGGAGGCTGCCATTCAGTAGGTTTGTTCTTATGGTTCATATGAACAAAAGCTACCAAGAAGACAGAGTGTGCATTTTGGTATTTCTTTCACATGGAACTCACAAAGTTGACCGTCCAAAAGCACAAAACACCCTGAAACTGTTTTGGTTATAGGACCATGTGTGCACTGATCAGAACCTCCACACGGTGGCATTTCTGCTCTGAGCACTTTTCGGATATGTTGGGCACTCAGTTATCCGAGGATGTATAGACTGTGGGGGTTCCTATGTGGGAAATATGTGTTTTTATGGTTTTTCACATTTGTTATTGTTTTTGCTGAGTCACGATGACAATGCATTTTATGGGTGTGTTTATGGGCATGTTTTGGAGAGTGTCTACTGTACCAGATTCTGTATAAATGTGAGCCATTTGGCTGGGAGTAAACAGATCTACTTCACACTTCACTCAGTCTCGACTAGTGTTTGGGTGATACCCTTCGGCAGTAACTATAATCACTACTCAGCAGCTATAATCTCTCTGGAGCTGATCACAACTGGAAGGGGCGACCACTGGCGGTATTAACCCATCTTCAGGAGGGTATACCACCACAATTGCATATTTTGCAAAAAGCACCAAAGATGAAAAGACCCTTGAATATTACAGATCCACTTTAAAACTCATGCTTCAAACTTAAAGGACCACTATAGGCACCCAGACCACTTCAGCTTAATGAAGTGGTCTGGGTTCCAGGTCCACCTAGGATTAACCCTTTCTCCTGTAAACATAGCAGTTTTAGAGAAACTGCTATGTTTACCTATGGGTTAATCCAGCCTCTAGTGGCTGTCTCATTGACAGTGCTAGAGGCGCTTCTGCGCTTCTCACTGTGATTTTCAGTGAGAAGACGCCAGCATCCATAAGAAAGCATTGAGAATGCTTTCCTATGAGACTGGCTGAATGCGCATTCAGCCGATGACAGGGAAAGGAGGAGGAGAGTTCCCCATGCTGAGGGAACCCGGCGCTGCAAGGGGGACCCTGAGGGTGGGGGCACCCTCAGGGCACTATAGTGCCCAGAATAAAAGTTTTCTGTTTATTTTTATTTATTTATAAAATATTTTACCAGGAAAGATACATTGAGATTTATCTCGTTTTCAAGTAGGGATGCACTGAAATTTCGGCTGCCGAAAATGGGCCTATCCCGTTTCGGCCAAAAACAGGTAAAAATTGCCTAAGTTAAAAAAACAAACAAAAAAAACTGACATGCTTGCATTAACAATGCAGATGATTATATATCACAATGAAAGATAGTAATGATAACATGAAAGTCAAGAATACTGCACTTGGGATGGGGGGGACACTAAATGGGACAGGGAAGGGGGGGGGGAAGAACACTATGGGAGAGGGAAGAGGGGAAGAACACTATGAGACTGGGGAGGAGGGGGAAAGAACAGTATGGGGACAGGGGTGGGGGGGGGAGAAAAGAACACTATGGAACAGGGGCAGAAAAGAACACTATGGGACGGGGGAATACTATGGGACTGGAGAGGAGGGGAAAAGAACAGTATGGGGACAGGGGAGGTGGGAAAGAATAGTATGGGGAGCAGGGGTGGAGTGGAGAAAAGAACACTGTGGGGAGGGGGGAGAAAAGAACACTATGGGACAGGGGAGGAGGGTGAAAGAACAGTATGGGGACAGGAGAGGGGGCAGAAAAACACTATGGGGACAGGGGAGAGGGGGACACTATGGGACTGGGGAGGAGGGAAGAAGAAAACTAGAGGGGAAGAGAGGAACATTAAACAAGGGAGACCACTAAAAGAGAAGGGAGACAGGAAGTATTTCATATTAGATTAATTAAATTTATTAAGTCTAATCTTAATAACATTAGGGAAAAAATAATTTTTTTAATCATTTGGGGGAAAAAAGTAATTTTTGGGTTTTTCAGCCAAGGGCATCCTGAAGTTTCGGTCCAGAATTTTCATTTCAGGGCATCCCTATTTTCAGGTATGTCCTGGGTCCACAAAATATTGCATTAATACAATAGGGTACAATAAAATACAAAAACAATATTAATACACAATATATACAAAATTTAACATAGAGGTAGCAAATATATAATCAACCATGACACGTGCATTCTGTTTTGAGGTATAGAGAGGGATCTCTTAAAAGGACTTTAGCTTTGGGGAAGATTTGAAAGTATGCGGGAGGTCGTTCCCTAATTGCGGTGCTCTGTAGGAAAAGGAGGATCGGACGGCTTTCTTTTTGTATTGAGGTAGACTAAATAAAGTGCTTCTACTGGAATGGAGGTTGTAGGAGGTGGGAACAGTCGAGGAGAGCATTATGTTCAAGTAGGGCAGGATCTTCTCAGAAAAGCTCTTAAACACAAGGCTGGAAAGATGAATTGTGCGTCTGGATTCCAGTGACAACCAGTTTCGTTCTTTTAGCATGTCACAATGGTGGGTCCTGTAATTACATTGTAGCACAAATCGGCAGTTACATTGTAGCACAAATAAGCAATTTGTGATAAATCCAATACTGAATAATAATGCTGTCAAAACAATTTCAAAGAATAATTTCAGTTATTGTATTGTTCATGATGCCCCAAACTTTTATGAACCACGTGCAGTACCCCTTCCATGCTGTAACTTAAGCCTTTGTGAAATCGGTGTAGCGCTATATACATACATATAATAGGGTTGAGCCTAATAGAATAGTCAGGCTTCCAAATGAGGGTAATTCCAATATCTTATAAAGTCCACCTAAAATAAGCAAAGAGAACTCTAATAGTGTAACACTGTAAATTAAGATGATAGTGAGAGTCAAATATAATAACAAACTCACATTCTTCTGAGCTTAATGCCAAGCTCAGGAATAAGTGCGTATAGGTCCGTACAGGCGACCTTCCCCTTCTTCTTATCAGGTGTTTATCTCAGATCGTCTCTAGGACTCAAGTAAAACAGATATATAGTGTAGAATGTCTGTATACAATATTACTACTTAAAGTATATAATATACTCACAAAAATGGAGCCTCTATATCGGCTCAGACTCTGCACGTTGAATAAAATGTAGAACTTTTCAAAGCAGGAACCAGAAAAAGCCCATATAATAATTTAAAAGGTATATAAATAATTTATTACATTACAAGGGTGTAGAAAAAACCCTCTATAGTAAATTAAAACGCCAAAATACAAAGCGCAGAAAAATATAAAATAAAATAAACAAATAAATAACAACTGGGCATAACAATATCGTACAATATGTAACTTAAGCCTTATTCACAAACCAGTCCTGGTATTCAAACTGCGTGAGAATTTTCATCACAATCCACAATTTCAGAGTTAGAAAACATTGTCTATTTAAAACAAGCAAAAACTTGTTATCTTAACATCATTAAAAACAAAATCATAAGTTCAAGACAAGATATAGAGAAACAGGTACCATGGACTCTGTTAAGGAGGGGGACTCAATGAAAAGTTTATTTTCTTCACCCCATGCTGAGAGGAATGGAAGTTATTTAAATAACACATTTTATGATACTCTTAATGGTACCATGCATTTTTATCTTCATCTGCTTCTTTGTGAGTTGAGTGATAGGTTAGTAAACTTTAGAGGGATCCCAGCTGAATCCATGGCATAGGTTAGTGAATCCCAGGATCCCATGAGTTCCCACAATGTCTTTTGGTAAGTATCTACATTTAAGAGTATAACACAACAGAAATGTTATAGAGAGAGATGGTTAGTAATTTAGTAAGACACATTTAATGTAATTGGGACTTAACAAAATGTCATTTTTGCAGGGAAGATGCAAGAAAATCAGATGTCACTTTGCAAACTAGTAATTTAAATAAAGCAGAATATTTCACCATAAGATTAATGACTCACCTTTGTAGTCTTCCTTATAGGACTAGTAAATAGAGTTAAAAGCAAATACATTAAAAGTACAGTCTTTGCTATATGCAGCAGATAGCATTGATGTAAGAACATCAGGTTCATTAAAGGAACACTCCAATCACCATAACCACTACAGCCTGTTGTAGTGATTTGTGTTGCTAGTAATGCCCTTGCACCTTTCCAGAATGAGTCAAATCTATTTAGAATGTGTGAACAATATTGTGAACTTTTTGAAATTAAAGACTAATCTCGGTCGTATCCAGCAGAACCTAGAGATGGAAAACCTGAAATAGATAATGCACAGAAAAAATTCTTGCTGAGAATGTTAAAGACAAATTGAACATGCAAACAAATTTAAATAGAAACATGTTACGTTAATTAATCCAAAGTTTTTAAAGGGAAGGTAACAAATATTTTAATGAAATATGACTCCATGCTAGTAGTTAGTGAGCACCAAGATCCTCTGGTATGAGCAATTCTATAAAAAGCCATGCAGTTCTGATTGATGGAATAGACAAGTCAAATACAGTAAAAGTAGGGTCATTCCTGTATGCAGTGTATGACAAAGTCCCGTAAGGTATAGCTGGAGACCTACCCAAAGGAAATAAGTATGTTTGTGGAAGTATAGTTCAAACCTACAGCCCATCTATCAATTCATGTGTGGGATAACAGGAAGGGTGCATGCGCCAGTTGACATTGTCAATGTCTGCACTCAACGCGCGTTGCAGCCGTCGGCGGGTTCATCAGGAGTGCTCCTATCCATTACGAAACTTTGTCATTTTATGTTGCTAAATGTTGTCCTAAAGGTATCCAGCATCAAAGTTGATATGTTATCACCAACTGTTTAAACTGATAGATATGCATTTTTATACCATTTTCATTGGGAATCCATTTTATTGCAATTGACTGGATACTTTTCGTATCAATTATTTCCAACTATATATTATATACCCCACCCATTCTGAGAAATCTACTGGGATTCTAGTGCTAAAAATTTTTTTCTTCAGTTTTAACTAGTCAGTATTTACTTTGAGTCCTAGTACGTATTCTTTTGTCACAGGACAAGATATTTCACTGTTGTAGTTTGTTGTACTCTTTATGTCTTTATATCAATTTTTTTCACTTTTCCCCCACTTTTTGATTCTTTGTCACTTTAGAGTACATTCAGATTGGACTTGAGAATTTTCAAAGCAATCACAATCCACAATCACATGTCCTGCCTCTTGTCCTTCCGCTCTCTGAAATTTTTCTGGCCCTTACCTCCGGTCTGCCCCTACACCTCCTCAGCTCACAGACAGTGGTCAATTATATAAAAAAGAAGGGTACACACAGTGTAGGAGGATATTGTAGTAATAAGAACCACCACTATTGTATATGTGGAGCACTTGAAGTATGCGAACTTACCCCTATGGGTTAACACAATTTGACATGCAAAGGAGAAAACATATCACGTATCTGTAGAAATAAAAATGCATATGGTGCAAGTAATGTTTAAAAACAATCCCATAAATAGGTGATTTAAATGGTCTCACTCACATGATCTAGAGCCCATTAGGATAGGCTCTAGTCACTAGGGCTTGCGTGTACTCAGGTGACACTGTACCAAATCGATCCTTCTTTCAGTCAGTAGATACTCATATATAAAAGGAGGGGAGGGGGAACATAGGAAGCAGAATGCACCTAGTGTAGTATTTTCCAGAGATATATGTTAATAATGGTAGAAAAATGGCTTCTCACCTGGTTAGGAGCCCAATACCTGACTCCTGGTGTAGAGGTATATGTGCCTTTAAGAGGGCTACAACCCTTCTTTAAGCAGCAAGGTAGAAGTTGATGATTGACTATTAAAGTATTAAAACAAAATGTATTTGAACAATAAGTATAAAAACCTACAAATCAAAAAGTGAACTAATAATATATAAAATAGTCTCCAATCTTATTGCCGAAATGCGTTTCATTGTGCCGTGACAGCTTTCTCAATCGGTAACTTCCTTGCTGCTGAACAACGATTTAAATATCCCTCTTCTCTTTCTGCATGGCTGGCCGATTCTCTCATCCTCCAATTGGATGTCGTGGTTCTCTGGGTGTGTTCCCTCCAATTGGATTCGTTGATGTAATTTCTAGCCCGATCACATGACGTCTCACGTGACTTTCAACATCACACGCAGCATCATGGATGGGGCGTCCACACTGCTGATGTATCTGAGTCCAGTAGCGTCCATATTGTTGTAGGGTAAATGCCCTTACACTTTAAGCCGTCTAATTTCACAACATGCTTAAAAGTACTGAATCTCAGTAGGAATATGTGTATATACAAGAGAATAGAGGAGAAAAAGAAATATATTAGTATCTTTTCGTTTTAAATGGACACTTTTGTATCAATTTACTCTTATGAAGTGCAATTGGAAATTCTTAGATTGCATCTCCTCTATGTAACAATTAAGGTGCAAGTGCATTTATATAACAACTCCTCTTTATAACAGTTTAGGTGCAAGTGCATTTATTACAAATAAGCAAAACTCAGGATTCCCCAAAAAGTGTATGATAAGCACCATCAGGTGATAAGTGCAAATGCAAACTAGATCTCATGATTTAAGAGCAATCTAAAATAGTTCATATTGTATATAAAAAAAGTTATATAAAATGAAATACTTTAAAATTAGAGAAAAAAAAATCTCTAAGTTAAAAAATGACAGCTCAAAATCATCAAGACCATTTGATTGCATTGTATTTAAATTAAAAATCCATTGCATCTCCCTCTGCCCAATATTCTTAATAAAATTTCCCCCATCAAGTAATATCCTCTGTATAGCGTGGAACTCAAGATGAGTGGGGTCACTATTATGTTTATTTTTAAAATGTAGGGACACACTGTGTTTGTCGAAGCCTTTCCTAATGTTTCTAATGTGCTCTTGAATTCTGGTGTGTAGGTTCCTTGTGGTGCGTCCTACATATGCAAGTCTGCAAGGACAAGTAAGCAGATAGATCACCTTATTTTACTGGCATGTGATTAATTCATTTATCTTAAACTTAATATTTTTATTTTGAGGATGCAAAAAAATTTTTATCAATCTTTTTTTTTGGGGGGGCTCTTTGAGTTTTTGCATGCACAACAGTGTCCACATCCATAGAACCCTTTTGATTCATAAAAAAAATGATCTTTTGGACCTTTTTGGAGGTATATGGTTATGTGTTAAAGTGCTTCTCAGATTATTTTTACTCTATAATTTTGTGTTTCTCTGGGAGAATGCTGTTCAGAAGGGGGTCGTTCCAGTATTTGGAGACAATTCTCCTGTTTACCTTATTTTTACAGTTAAAATCACACATTAGACCTATTGGCTGGAACTCCTCCTCACTTTTGGTATTTTTATAGCTGATTAGGTCCTTCCTATCTTTAGCTTTGACCTCTTCAAGTACTTGTTCGAACAATCGATCCTTATAGCCCTTTTCCCTAAAATCATCCATAATTTTTTGA